TGTAACGGCCGTGCTATTTGTGCAAAGTTCTTAATAAACTTTCTGTAGTAGGAGCAAAGTCCTAAAAAGCTCCTTATTTCATGTTGGTTCCTTGGCACGGGCCAACATCGCACTGCTTCTGTTTTCTCGGGATCAGTACTTACGCCATCTGCAGAAATTATATGGCCCAGGTAACAAACTTCTTTTTGAAATAATGCGCACTTCTTTGGGCTTAACTTCAGGTTTGCAGCTCTTAATTTGTTGAAAACTTGCTCGATGTTCTTAAGCTGATCTTCGAAGGTTTTTCCAAGTATTATAACGTCATCCTGGTATACAAGACAAGTCTTCTAGGTTAATCCTTGTACTACGGTCTCTACTAGACGCTCAAAAGTTGCTGGAGCATTGCAGAGTCCAAAAGGCATTACATTAAACTGCCAAAGTCCAGTTCCAGTTGAAAAAGCAGTTTTCTCTTTGTCTTCGGGGTGCATTCGTACTTGCCAATATCCGCTGTAAGTGTATCATCGATACGGGGCAAAGGAAAACTGTCTTTCTTCGTGATGTCGTTAAGCCTTCGGTAGTCAACGCAGAATCGGCTGGATCCATCCTTTTTCTTGACCAGCACTACGGGTGACGTCCATGGACTTTGTGATGGTTTAATTATTTCGTGCTTCTCCATGTCTACATTCATCAAACGTACAGGCACAACGTGATTTCTAGTTATTGATAAAGTTCTTGCAAGCACAATACCTTTTCGGCATAATTTTGATTCAGGATCTCCTTCCATTATTACGACATTCGCGTCAAATTCGTCTTTACAAGTAGCCAAGGCAATCAGTTCAGTTTTTCCCGGAATTTCGTAATCTGCGAACAGTTCAATTTTTCTAGCTCCTTGGGGATATGCCGTTGGGCTCGAAATAACAATTTCTTCATTTCCACATCTTAATACTCTTTGAGGTATGTCCAAGATAAAACGTTGGTTTTCCATCAGGTTTGAGCCAAGTATAACATTATTCATAATATCCGCAACAAGAACCAGATGGGTAAAGGTAATACTGCCTAAGGTAAAAGTTGCCAAATGCGTACCTTTAATGGGTATATTTTCTCCATTTGCTGATTCCCAAACATAGTTCATTCCAGTACTTCTTCTTTCACTCCGATGGCGGCAATTAAAAAGTACATTAGGTCTTACGATGGTGCGAGTTGAGCCAGTATCCAAAATCATCTCAGTTTCTCGGCCACATATTGTCCCTGGTACTACCAAGCTGGATCCAGTGTTCTTGAGCCGAGAAATC